ATAGTTACAAATTAGTCACAACTGTTGTTTTTGTACCTATATAATTTGTCGTATTGGGTTTCTTTTAACAATTAATTGTAGTATTGTGCTTTCTCTCTCACCTAAATCAAACTTTTAGATTTCAAAAATATCATTGCATCCCATAGAAGATAATCCTGTTGAAGAGGTTTTAGTCCTAAACCCAGAGGATCTTGAAGCAATCAAGAATCCAGATTCTATAACAAATCAAATTGCACTTTTGGAAGCCCAGTGTCATGAAATGAAACCAAACCTTGGTGCCATTGCAGAGTATAAAAAGAAGGTATGAATGAACTGTTTATGTATACTAGTCAGAAATTCTTTATAGTCCTTAGCCTAAATTCTGACCTTTAGTTTTACATAATTAGCAATGCTGATTTTCATGTCAAATTTATATCCAAGTAGATTTTTTTCCTAACATAATATTCTTTTCATAGGAAGAATTATATTTGCAACGAGTAGCAGAATTGGACAAAATTACTTCTGAGAGAGATAATTTTAGACAGGCGTATGAAGATCTTCGGAAACAACGGCTTAATGAATTTATGGCAGGGTTTTACATAATAACAAATAAATTAAAGGAAAATTACCAAATGCTTACCTTGGGAGGGGATGCTGAACTAGAGCTTGTAGATAGCTTGGATCCTTTCTCTGAAGGAATCATGTTCAGGTTTGTAATTATACTGAGTTTTTAATCCTCCTCTTACCTATCTGTGTATATTCTCCAAACTCTTAGTATTTCTTGGCTGGTGGGATGTGAAGGCAAGATCTACAGCTTGTTTTATTCAATAATAAATACTATTTTGTTTACATGCTTTTTATGCTAGTAGTTTACAGGGGCAAACAGCAAATAACCTTTACAAAATATTTGTCTAGTTCATCTTTTTTTAATTTTCAAGCCATGTCAAGTTTAATATCAGGATTGAAAATTGCATTTGATAAGGGGAATAGCAAGAAGTACTTAGCTTGCTGTTTAAATCTTAAAATTTTGATACGTGGTAAAATGTGCTCATCCTCCAATGTTTTTATAAAATAACCAGAAAAAATAGTTCAAATTTGTGAAAAGCAAATTAGAGATTCCCAAGGAGGAAGGTGGTAGAAGTCAATTATGGAAAACAAATCATGAAGTCTTAACTTTAGCTTTACAAGTAATTTGACTAAGTTTTCTTAATTATTTCAGTGTCCGACCACCTAAGAAAAGTTGGAAGAAGATCTTTAACCTTTCAGGAGGAGAGAAAACACTTAGTTCATTGGCTTTAGTATTTGCTCTTCACCACTACAAACCTACTCCCCTTTACTTCATGGACGAGATTGATGCTGCCCTTGATTTTAAAAATGTGTCCATTGTTGCATTTTATATATATGTAAGTGATCATTTAGGAGTTTTTGTCCCAGAATTCTTTGACTTATTTCTTACTATTGAGCGTTTTCTCTACTCTTCTAACTGCATGTCTTCTGGTATCATTTATTGTCCAAGAAATATTTGAGGTTACATGTTTATTATGTGATTTTCCCATTATTAATCTTTTTAACTTTTTTTTTCTTTTTTTAGGAACAAACAAAAAATGCCCAGTTCATAATAATTTCTCTTCGAAATAATATGTTTGAGATTTCAGATAGACTTATTGGAATTTACAAGACATACAATATAACAAAAAGTGTTGCAGTAAACCCAAAAGAAATTGCATCTAAAGGACTTTGTTGAGCTTTTTTGTACTGAAGACTCTTCAAATTGAATTGGCATATATTCAGTGTATTGTGTTACTCATTTTTCTTTTTGTAAAGGATTATGACTTGTATTAAATACATATTCCTAAACTGGATCACAAAATGATTCTATTTTATATTAAGAGTCATTTTTATAAAGTCTAATAAAATATTCTCTATAATTCTGGGAGATTGTAAGAATCTGATAATTTTGTAAGTGGTAGGCTATGAGAAAAATAAGATACCTGGAGGGTCAGGTGACTTTGATTCTCACTTCCTGCCAACAAGGTTCAGCATACCTTCATGGACCTTTCACCTATACTAGAAAGCCTGCCAACTAATGTTGGATAAATTCTTAAAGGACTTTGCTTTATTTGCTAATATAGACAATCACTATATTTATTACCAAATAATGGGAACTTTTTTGTTAAACCAGTCATGCTGAGTTACAGGAATGTGAATTTAAATATCGTATGCTTTTCTAAAACTTGTGTTTGACTATTTGAAACTTATTTGCAATAGAGCCAGTAAACTAAAGCAATGTCTGAACATAACTAGTCTGTATCATAATTTGAAAAATACCCCACTATAGTTGCTTCTTAAGAATGAAGTAGACATTCTTAACTTAGTTTTATCTGGATGTTGCCCCATTATAAATCAAGCATATGTATATGGAGGTTAACTTCCTTCCTTCCTTAGGAAAGTAAGATGTTTTGAATGTTTGCCTATTGGATTGTTAGGATTTTTTACACTGTATTGGCTCAAAAATGTTATAATGCTACTGGTGGAAATAAGTTGGCACCACTTGGGTTCCATAGGAATTTTGGTAATTGAATCAAAATTCTTTGCCCATTTCTAGATACTTAACCCTAAAGAATTAAAGAGCTAATTATTTCATTATTTAGTGGACCATTGTTTAAGTATTAAAAATCCATCAGGGGTGGGCACAATGGGTCACGCCTGTGGTCCCAACGTTCTGAGAAGCCAAGACAGGAGGATCGCTTGAGACCCGGAGTTCAATGTAACAGTGAATTATCTATGATCATGTCACTGCACTCCAGCCTGGGCAACAAGAGTGATACCCTATCTTCCAAAAAAATAATCTACCACACAGTTTGTATCATAATACAGCCATAAAAATGTAAATATATTAGCATGGACTTAAATAAAGCAAGATCTGAAATTCAAGCATGGTCATTTGTTTTAAATCAAGAAAATAGTATTTTTTACTTTTCCCTTATCGTTTTCATTGGTGAGAGAAGTGAAAGGAATTTTTAATACTTTTATTAATAACAAATACAATAGCGTTCAGTACTGTTTTAAAGAGTTAAAACAGAAAATACCCAGAACCCATATGAAAATTCCAAAGGTACCACTCCTGAGTCTGAGTGTCTTAAGCCACTCAGTGCAAATAAAACATCAAAACGAGTTTATTAAAAAATATACTTTTTTACACATAAAACTTAGAAATATTTCAAGATTATATGCTTTATACAATCTTATCCTTTGGCAAAAATACAAAAGAACAGCATGTGTAAGAATCAGTTACTTGTATACTTTATTAATGCATACTTCATAAAATTCATCAAAAAAATAAAAGTTTTGTTTACTAAAAACTGGCAAGTTACAAAATATTAATGTCAAGCCTAAAATGGTGTTAATAGGCATATGCTTGATTCTTAACACAGATTATAAACCTTAATTTATTGACATTAATCTTGGCCTACTTGGATCCTTTAAAGGCAGTGTGACAGCATGAACTCTGAAAAGAAACTAGTAATATTCTTCAGGGATTAGAGGGTTGGGGGGGTAAACTCACAACTAATGGAGGAGGTGAGCATTGTAGAGGGGAAGGGCGTGCCTCTAATCCTTGCTTGGGTGAAGCAAAGACATAAAATGTTTGTACCCTCAATATCCTGAAATAAAAAAAACTGGCATACTTATTATTACACAGTAAATGCTCTATTCAAATGTGAAAAACATTGCCCATGTATTCAAAAAGTTATACTGATAATCATCCCCCTTGTAAGTGGTACAAGGTGAAGTAAACTGCCTTTTACCTCGGGGCGGGGGGGGGGGAACAGAAAATGCATGGGCTCTCCCACATGCTAGTGTATGGCCTTTGGCAAATTACTTTTTTGTTTGTTTCCCCATCTACAAAAAGTAGAGGTTAAAAATAGAACAGATATGTGAGATTAAGTGCTTGACACATAATGGCTAACATACATTCCAGGGCTTACTAATATTTATATTTATTCAAAAGTACAGGGCACTTTCCTGGTGTGACTAATATTTTAAGTAAATCAAATCACTAACTTCACCCAAAAGTTAATTTTATTTCTATTTTAATAGCTGAATATATCTCTCTTCACCGCCTGTACACCCTATTGTTCTTTGCCCATACAATAGTTAATTGTGCTAGGTAGTCTGATTCTAATCATAAATTGACAATTAAGACTTTCAGCAGATATGTAGGACAGTTTTAGAACTAGCTCCCTAAATACAACTATATTTATTCATGATAGTTTACTTACATGTAATCTGTAGGCCCAGGAGCATTCCCTAATCTGACCTGGAAAATCTTTTTGAACTAGGTAAGGCTCCTAGAGATGGTGATCCAAGAGCAGCCCATTCGATATTTCTGGAAAGCAAGTCAGTTTATACTCGGGGTTGCACGGACAATGGGCCAAAAGCCCTACCTACCACAAGTGTTAGAACTCCAATCCCTGTTAAGGGAGCTAAAGAGTTTTGACATAAATTCTTAAATTCAAGAAATGTAAGATTAAATTGCTGGTACTTCCACAATAGCATTAGAGGGAATTTGGCAGATAATTCAGAACAGTTTTTAAGATGACTAAAGTTCACATAATGCCATCAAAACCTGTCAGGGTGGAATATGTCACCAATATGACTCTGTTCTAGTATGTTTGGGTTTTTTCCCAAAAACTGATGTGACAATACAAAAGTCAAATATAATCTTAAAATCAATTTACACAAATCATAGAATATGTGACAAGTATTAGAAAATGCCACTGTTCCCTAACTTACATAATCCAAAAGCAATAACTTTATTTGGAATCAATGTTGATAAACAAACATTTTAGGGCTCTTTAAATCTATCTAAAACATATTAGCTCTATGGCCCAGATACATTTGATCAAAAGATCTTTAAATAAATAATGCCTTATCACGTTTAGGCTCTGCTGCTTGATTTTAAAACCTCTTTTACTAACCTTTTTGAGCATGTTGCCATCTTTTAACCTAAAAGCTACATAAAGAACTACAAAGCCAACTTACTGCAGTATATAATAATAGTAACATATTAGTGCAAGAATGTTTAAATGTCACAGCAACATTAAGTCAACCTCCACGAAGCCAATAAAAATGGGATAATATATTAATATTCAAATCAAGTAATTAGCAGACTTTACTTTCTAATAATGATTTGAATATTTCAGATGCTGCCTCCTTTCTAATTTTGACATATCATTTCTAACCTACAGAAGCATAAAAGGTATAACATTTCTATATATTTGTTGCCACTCTAATGAAGCTTAGTATGCTACTTATTTGTCCATGCTACCCCTATTTGTCCATTTAGCAATGGTTAGTCTCTGCTATACAGAGTAAGACCATTTAAATAATTCAGATGTAAGTTCTCAATGAGAAACTATTTTCCACATAAATTCCTTCAACAAATATAAAGTGTGACATAGTATACTCTTTAAATCATGCACATTGTTAGATAAACTTTGGTAAACAGATAGAGAGACTTCAGAAAAACATATTGAAGTGATTTCATTTAAAAAGGTTATTATGTGTTGGTTGAAAAAGAGTATTAACATCAGTATCACTGAAATCAGTGTAACTATAACAATGTTTAAAATTTTAAAAAATTCAACTTCTTTTTCATCCTTGTCAGGCCAGGAACATGGTATCCTTTTTGAAGAAATTTTCATTTCAGGAATGAGCACTTTCTTAATTTGTCCAATTTCTGTTCTGTTCCATTCTTCTTTTAATACTTTGCTTACTCGAGGATAAATTTCAACAGGTTGGACCTCAGGAAGTGGTCTTTGTTTTAAGATCTGCACACGTTGGCGGACATCATCGACTTTTTCAAGAAATTTAAGTGGAGACTCTTCTTGTAAAGATGTTGTCAGTGTCATTAGTTCAAGCTGCTGCTCTCTCATTTCTTTCATTCTTTCAATTTGCGGAGTATATTCTTGATTAATCAGATTGCCAACATCACAGAGAGCCGTTAGGAAAAATTTTTTTTTCTGTTCCAATGTATCACTAAGCTCCTTAAAATACTGGAGAACAACTTCCTTCTCACCTTGGACCATTTTCTCAGAAAGAGATTTTTGTTCTTCCAGCTTTTCAGTAAGACGAGTAAGATCTGTCCAATGTGTGTCAGTTAACTGTTCAAGCAGTTTTTGTGGAGTGTCCTTTTCTTTCAGATAGGCACTTTGAAGGTCATCTATAGGATGACCATGGTGTTGACCTATGGTAAGGCAATGACCACAAACTAATTTTTTATCTAGTAGGCAATAAACATTTAATGGTTGCCTGTAATGTTCAGGGCAGGTGACAATATCTGGATGGTCTTCTTGCTGGTACTTCTCAATAATAGCCCTTAATGCAAAATTAACAGGTAAAGATTCAATACCAGTTGGAGCAATTTCAATAATACTTCTGCAGTTAGGGCACTTGAGTGGAATTCGTAAAGGTCTCCATATATAAAAGTTACCAGATGCCTGAAGAACGTTTTCCAAACAATTTCTACAAAATGTATGAGAGCATGGTAGTACACGAGGATCTTCAAAAATACTGTAACAAATGGGACATGTTAACTCATCCTCAAAATTGTGCATTTCCTGTCAAGAGAAAAAAGTATTTTAAGTACATATATATAATAAAGACATCTGTACATATTTTGTAAAGTTTTAGTTGTTAACCTCCAAATTGTTAATATACCATGCTTGTCATTTAAAAGGACAACTAAGGTTATTTACTAAGATTTTTAAAATGAAGCTTCCTTAGTAATTCAATTCCTAATATATATAATATTGAATAATTGATAATCTTTAAGAGTTTATTCCTTTAGGACAAAAGTCATCCCAAACAACAGTTTCAATTAATTTCTAATAAAATGCTTCAAATTTATTTAAATTTATTTCCATATAATGAAGACTAGGTAAAATTCAAAGTGGTCTGTTGTTAAAATTTTCTTAATGATTACAACCAGTCTGTTCAACTTTTTAACATTCTAAGGTGCCAAAATCAAAACTATGCACATACAATGGATAGGCAAAACTAAATATCTCTATTACATAACATCACAACTTAGGCTTAACAAAATTATATTCTCTAACTCAAAAGAAGGAAACATGCTATGCTCCAGTTAGCTCAATCATAGTTTCTAAAGCAAGTTACTATAAATTTCTTAGCTTCTTGAATTAGAATACAAGTATGCTTAAAGCCCAGGATCAGCATAACATAGTTTTCCAAAGCAATTTTAACTTGAAGATTTAGAAGGGGAAAAAATGTAGATTAGTCCTTACAACAAAAATCAAATGAAAGATGAAGAGTTTGACTGTGGTAACTTTGAATACTGACTTAATTTTTAAGTGAAAAACTTGAGCACTAATGTAAAGAACATAAAGGACCCCATTAGTCACCTTTCCTTCATGAAAAAGTCTCTTGAGTTATTTCCCTGAGACAGAAAAAGAAACCCAGCAATAGTTCCCATACCACTCAGACACCAGTAACCTGGCAAGCTATTATTGTATTTCCGACAGAAGGCTGATAGTTTTTTTCACCCTACCACCTCTTACAGTCTTCCTTCATACCTATCCTCAATGCATGCCACAATCCTAAGGACTGACTTATCCCTTGATAGAGAAAAATCAAGTTACACCACTGTTTAAAGAACCTAAAACAAAACAAAAAAACCCAAGTGCCATTCAAGTAAAATATAAAAGTTACCAAGTCACCCTCTATAAAACTAACTTGTAAAATTAAAAGTTTGTGAAAACAGCATCTAAAAAAAACTAATTGCACTTTTAAGAAACATAAAACCCCTGTAGACTTTTTAGCTCTTGGCTCCTCATTTTAACCATCTGCCAAACTCTTACTTACCCTTCAAGTCTCAATTTGAGCCTGCCTCTTCCCCAAATTCCACTGTTAGTCTCCTTTAGCACTGCACTTTTACTTCATACCAGTTAAAGGTATTTTATTTAAAAGAATTTTGTATACATTAGAATGTAAGCCACCTATAAGGGCAGGCATAGTGTCTGAACTGTGGTTATATTCCTATAACCTAAACACAGAACTCAAGTAGTCATTTAACTCACTATTGGTTCAAGGAACAACTGTCTTTCAAGAGACCAGTGTTAACACAGATCTTAGTTTTTTGTTGTTTTTGTTGTTTTTTTAATAGCAAAATCTCTACTCTGCTTAGGAAAAGCTGTAATGGTAAAGTCCATCAGAAAATACTCATTCAGACTGACAATATTCAGATCCCTAATGAGCCAAAATGTGTCACAGAGACTAAGCTTGAACTATGAAGCATTCCAGGAAACCAAGCAATTGAGCAACAGTGCAGAAGATAACACTCACTGTAGATAAATTCAAGTGATTGCACACTGGGAAGACTTTACAGTTTTGCCCTACACCTACAGAGAGCTCTGAAGTCATTACAAAAACCAGCCAAGAAAAACAAATGCGATTCTCAAGAGTATTTCAGTGGTGTCCGAATTCACAATTAAGGAATAAACAAAATAGCACTTTGCAAGGAATAAAGTTTGAACAGTGGACATTGAATTATAGCATTCGATCTAGAATTAATGCTACAATTAGATCTATTTAATGTTTAAGTAGCAAAACTAGCCCTAAAACAGAATCTAACTTTTCTCTCCAGAGCCCTATTCATTCTTTCTTTTCTTTCCTTTTCTTCTTTCTCTTTCTTTTCTTTCTCTCTCTTTTTTTTTGAGACAGAGTCTCACTCTTTTGCCCTGGCTAGAGTGAGTGCCCTGGCATCAGCCTAGCTCACAGCAACCTCAAACTCCTGGGCTTAAAC